CGACGAAGCGCTGGAAGACAGACGCAGCAGCCATCATGATCGCGACATCCCTCTCGAGTTGACAATTCCCACCAATCATCGCAATCCGCCACAGCAAGAACAACTGCCGCAACAACAGCAAGAGTACAGTCTTAACATGAATCTGGATGACATGAGAAATGTTAATCCAAATGGTGAAGACCGCCGGCATCCTGATCAACTGCGTCTCATGAAGCGACAGTCCAAGTCACGGTCTCTCTCGCCTGGACACTCGCCCGTTAATAATAATAGGAGACACACTCCTCATCCTGCTGCTGCTATTGTCAACGAGCAACAAGAATTCGAACCGCCTCCCAATCTCATGTCGCAAGAAAGCAGGCCAATCATGAACTGGAAAATGAAGAAAACGGGACAGCTGAACCCCCACAACATCATACTCCACTACCCCCCAGGAGGGATTTGCCACACGAATACGACGCCATTCTCACGGGAGGCAAGGATCATCGTCACGGACAGCCCAGTCCCCATCGACAGTCGCATAGACGGGAAGACAATCGTCATTACCACCCCTCCCAACAAGAGATTGTCGCTCACAATGGCAACCATTATCCCCATCCACATCATCCCCCACACCACCACGCCCGTCATCCTCATCACCACGAGCAAGGACAACCACGGACTACTTACGACCAACCTCCCGCGCGGTTGCCGGCGGAACCTCCCGCACGGCTGCAGGCTCCCGTGGAGTTTGTCGAGTTCCCCGTCGGCTGGGACGGAAGAGAGATTGAGACCACACAGGATGACGAACTACTGGATCGCGATGAAGACGAGTACTATCGTCGACGAGCGGCTCATCGCTTGCGCGAACAACAGGCGCAGCAACAGTCTCTCCAGTCGTTGCAGTCGCAGTCCCTTCAATCGCAGTCGATTCAGTCACAATCGAGGACATCCCGGCAAACCCCTCGTCCGGGACCCGTACGTCGCGCGCAAAGTAATGTCAGCAACGATTCCTTCTTGGGGGCTGCCGGAGCGGGAGCCAGCGACATGTATTCTCAAAATGTCGCTCTCAGTGGACGACGTGCACCCATGCAAATGATTGAAGTGTCGCCCGGTGTCTCCATGCCCTTTCGGGGATCGGAAGAAACTTGGGAAGCCATTGCGCTGAATCGCATTGTCCGAACCGAGTGTTTGGGATGTTCGATCCAATTGTATTGCGTCGAAGATGCCGAACTCGTCGTCTGTCCCGATTGTCAAACCATGAGTCCAGCTCACAAAACGGAAGACCCTCAAGCCAAACGAACTGGATTGGGACTTGGCTTTAAAGAAGAGCAGTTGGTCCAATGGCGTAATGCTGGGCCGTGAGTATGGTCTTAATATACCGGAACGAAACGATGAACTTAGAACGGTGGCCATCGCCTCGGATCAACGAAACCAGTAGCAAAGCACACACTTTGTTGTGCTTCTAACAGAGAACGAATGAATTCATAGAGAGATCTTTTTTAGCTCTATGGCTAGCTTGAATGGACTAGCGGAATGCACGTAGTGTGCTATGAAAACATGCCGTTCCATGAACGAACGAGGCAAATCCTTCAAGACTTGTGCCAAGGTAGCTCGGGTTCATTCAGGGGCTGAATGTCTTCCATCACAAAAGTACCCCCAGGTTCTGGTTAGTCTGGGGAACCAACCAAAAGAACAAACTTTGAGCCAAGTGCTATGCAATAATATGAGAGGCGTCCTCCACAATCACTTACTCTTATGCATAGTGGTGGTGCACCGGGTCTTTTTATTTTGGTAGTCCAAACATCCTGCAGGTAGTCAAACCAATGAAGTTTGCTGGCATCCAAGTATTATTGATAATGAGGGTTCACTTACCTTAAGCAAAGTCCCCCCATCGCCATTTCCCTTCGTCTCTTGGACCCGGTCGAGGCGTGCAATTTCAATGGAACCTGTTTCCACATTGGGTAGATACTCACGGAATGCATCAAAAGCCTCTGTCTGACAGCCCAGCAGAGCAGAAAATGGGCGAACTGCGAGTGAAGAACAAGGTCTTGCACACAGCAGCATAGATCTAGTTTCCTCCTCAAAAGTTTTGTGTTTGAAGGCGTGGAAGTGCTGGGAGCTCGAGCTCGCATCACCCAAACGATATCGTGGGTCAGTCGTGTTCTCCTTTCTACTGTATGTGGCGTTAAGTAATTGGGGTATTCTAACAAAAAGGATTTAAGGCTTTTCTTGGGAAAGATCCAGTATCCAGTATCCCTTTGCCTCCAACCCTCACAAACAAGCGAACAACACAAACTTATTCGTGGGTTGGCGATTGTTGCATGCTCTGGAATAAAAGTGAAGTCTCGAGACTGGACCTCACCTCTCGAAACAGGCCACCGCGCACCGTTGTCTCGAGCTTGTATTTCATTTCCAGAGAGGAGACAGCGTTGTTCTTTCATTTCAATCATCAAGATCATCCCATAACTAACTCAATCTGCGTTTTTGACTCCACCGTCACTCAAGAATTCTTGGAAGATCTGCGAAAGCACCGGAAATATTTCCCACCATGACGACAGCGATGATGGAGCAATTCAACGCCTCCTTGACGGAGAATTTCTTTCAAGAATCCACCACGGATGTGTTTGAAAAGTATGATTTGGTGGAGGAAGCGCGAATCGATGAGCTTGGGCCCATCAGAAAGGTCACCCCCAAGGATTCGTCCACTTCAGTAACTTCTCTACGAGTCTACAGTCTCAAAACAATTCACTTGAATCGAGTTTCCAGAATTGATTTGCAGCAGGAAGAACTCCGACAGGAGATCAAAGCACTAAAGGTGTGTGTGCCAATGCAAGCATGATTCGTTGCTTGGTTTTATGCGTGTTGCGTGTTCGAAAGTATGGACTCACTCATCCTCTCTGGGTGTTCATTGTGGCATTGTAGGCTCTGGATCATCCAAATATCATCAAGCTCTATGAGGTCTACTACAACGAAGAAGACATTCATATGCTGCTGGAAGAAACAAAGGGCGATGACTTGTATTCCAGGAGTCCCTACACAGAGAGACAAGCTGCCAATATTTCCTCCCAGCTGGCCTCGGCGGTGGCTCACATGGTACGTGATGAGGCGTGTGTGATCCACGCAACTGGTTTTGTGGATCAATAATGGATCTTATGCACTTTCCGGCTTTGTGTGCAGCACGAGAATGGTGTCATTCATCACGCCCTTCGGTTTGAAACTATATTCTTTGAACATAACGGTGCGAATGCAGCAATCAAAGTGGCAGATTTTGGGGGGGGAGCATCACAGGGCACTGTTTCTGGCGCAAGGTCAATGTGAGTGCATTCTGGTGCTGTGTGCGGCTTCAACTCTAAAACAACAACATCTCATCCCTATGCTCTCGCGTTAACACGGTAGCTATGCGAAAGCACCAGAAGCATTGGAAGAAGGTTCTGTCAATGCGCTTGTGGACTGTTGGTCCATGGGCGTGATTTTCTACATGTTACTGTCGGGCCAGATACCCTTCTACGCTCAACGAAGCAAGAACATGATTGCCAAAATCAAAAGAGCAAAGTACTCGCTGTCGGGGCAAGCGTGGGACGGGATATCCAATGGCGCCAAGCATCTGGTCGCAAACTTGCTCTTGGTAGACACGACAAAACGGTATACATCGAAACAAATACTGGACCACATCTGGATACGAAAGTGGACGGCAGCGTGCGCGGAGACGGCTCCTCTGGATGATCAACTGCTCACGGCCGTGGATGACTCGTTGCGGCAGTACAGGCAATCTTCCATATTGAAAAAGTTGGGTCTCAACGTGAGTTCTTTATTTGCATGCTTTGAGGCGGATTTGGGACGTCGTGGTCGTACGTTTGTTTTTCTCATTGGCGCTTTCTTGACATATATAGATCATTGCTCACAAATCAACGACGCAAGAGATCATTGCATTGCGGAAAGTGTTCGACTCGATTGATAAAAGTCACAATGGGACCGTCGACTTTGCTGAATTTAAGCAAGGTCTTGGACGATCCGGGTTCACCGAACAGGAATTGGCCCAGATATTCGAGAGCATAGTGAGTGATTCGGCCCGCAGCAGCGGCACAAACAACTACAAACATTCTCACTTTTGCGTGTTCTGTTCTCCTTATCCCGTGTGCAGGATGTTGACCACTCAGGCCAAATCCAATATACAGAGTTTCTCGCTGCCACCCTAGAGGCTCGGGGGTATCTGGAAGAAGACAGGATAGCCGAGGCCTTTGCTGCCATTGATCGCGACGGCTCTGGTTTTATTGACAAGAGTAAGCTCACGTCAATTCTTGGACAGAGCTGCACGTCAGAGCAAATCGACGAAATCATCAAGATTGCGGATAAAAACAATGACGGAAAGATCAGCTACGACGAGTTCTTTGATGTGTTCCGAGACCAGACCATGATTCTCGCGGCACAAATTGGAGAGGTGGACGAACCCACTGATTTGTATGATGACGATGACTTCGCCGATTTCTCGTTAGATTTCGACCCAAACAGCGGAATGTAGTAACCTGTTATATAGCCAGATGTACATGTAGTAACCTAGGGCAAGTTCAATACACAGAAGGACAGGTATTAGTTTAGTTTTCATCTCGTTGTTTAGACCTCAAGTTCAGATTCGAAAGTGATGGTAAGGGATTCTGCTGATGCACAACTCTCAGTTTTGAGCAACTTCTGCAGTTGTTTCCCTCCATGCAATTGAAGCTGCAACTCTTGGAATTCATCTTCAGAATCCTTCGTTGCTTGCTTCCCTCTCTTTGCTGTCCTTTTTCTTGCGCATTTGACAGTGGCTGCATCGCCTTTGACGATGAAGAGAACTACTCCAAGTATTGCACTGAGGCAAAGATATAGCAGGTTCAGTCCACTGTCTGCAGGGCATCCTTCCACTTGCTCAAACAGCGGGAAGCATGCACCAAAAGTAGAAATTGATGGGCTTGGCGATCGTTTGCAACTTTGCAATCGAGCCGAGTCAGTCGAGTCACAGTCAGTCACAGTCTGCACACTCGAAAAGTGGCAAAGCGAGATGTCGCCTGGGGCGTGGGAATCATTGTTTTTCTTGAAAGTGAGCCACTCAAAAAATTGCCTCCAACGTCCCGTCGCCTCGAAAATTGTGAACGTTGCGGCTGAGGTCGTCGTTTTCCCCATTCTTGCTAACCTTTCAAGGAAAGGCACCAAATTTGTGCTCGTAATCCACCAGTTTCAAACAAGACGGAAGAAGGCGTGTCCAGCTTTGGAACGATCGCATCCATCGGCAAAGGCCACTCAAAGACTCTGTGAAAAATCGTTTGTGAATAGAACCGCTATAGTTGCCCCAGATAGCTAGTGTAGACAGTTCACTTTCATCTTTCATCGAGATACAATTAGAATTCGACGACGAAGCCCACGATGTCATTCAACAGGGCACAGCGAGTGCTTCTCGGCGTCATTTGCACTGCCTTTGTAGCCAGTGCAGAACCGTCGCGTCTGCGGAAAGCGCAGGAAAACCCACAAGTTCCCATGGGCTTTCAATCGGGGCCTGACCCTGGTGCTACCTATGGAGGAAATATCATATATCGACCTGATTCAAATCGAATCTATGTCACTGGAGCTTCAAACGGGAATTACTTCAAAAGCGCCGATGCGGTCGACCGCAACAGCAACGTTGCAGCGGACACGACCTCCTGCTTTTTGGGAATCGCAGACATGCCATCTGCTGATAATGCTGGGACGCCTCCTTCATGGGTTCATGCGCAACAATGGGAGACCAGTGTTCCAGAAGCGTGCAACGTCATTCATGTTGACCAGAACCCGGTCAACTTGCCCGAGAACAACACAAGAATCGCAGAAAAGCTGTATCTGCTTGGATTCACGAGTAACAACGGGCTCATGGAGCCATTACGGATTCAATCGGCGTTTCCAGCCGAACAGTACGGCATGATCATGGATGTTGATATCCTCAAGAATCAGCCAGACTCAACAGACTTCACAACGACGTTTTGGGGGGGAAGGTTGTTGCAAGATGGTCCCGTGCAGTATCCCATTGACATGACAGTTGACGATAACGGAAACATCTACGTTGTTTCTTTGCAAACATTCGAAACTGCCCCCATCTCAAGAAACACAAGGCCGACCCAGGTAGCAAAGCAGATGGTGGACCCTCTGCTCACACCATATGGATCCGAGTACAATATGTTGATCGAACAATTCTTGTATGACAACCCAGGATACGATGACGGTGTTGGCGTCCCTGAAGACCCCAGCAATGTTCAAATTGACACGACTATCGTGGATAACTGGAGGAAACCCTTTAGTCCAGAGAATGGATCTGGTGGTGCCATTGTAGCGGGTGTCGCTTACTTGGGGGGAGTTCTGGTCGTCGTTGGCACTACCAACGGTCACAGCCAAGTCTTTGGAAACGAGCTCGCCAAGAGCATGAATCACACTGACACAAGCATGGATGCGTTTGTTACCAAGATTGTTCCAGATTCTGGCAAGTACTATCAGTTCGTTGCTGACAACGGTGCCCCCGCAGCAGAATCTGCGCAGCCAATGCACAAGCGCTCAGCGACATCTTTCATGTCTATTGACTACAAGGACGACTATGTCATGGGTATGTGTTACTCACCCGCAGACCCTGACAATTTTTACCTGGTCGGCACTACAGAAGGCCAGATGGATCGGACGATTAATCAGCTTGTGCAAGGTGAGATTCATGCGTTCCTGATGAAGGTCAACGTTTGGACATTGCTTCCTGCATGGACCAAGCAGATTGGTGGTGACCCCATCAAGAAGGATGTGGTTCGTGGTTTGGCTTGTGCTGTGACGGATGATGGCCAGGATGTCTATATGGCTGGCATAGTTGAGAACGGAGGTTCGTTGTCGCTCTATCAACAGAACAGCTTTGGTGGAGATGATATTTTCTTGCTTCAAGTGGATGCCGGGGATGGACGACTTGTTTTCTTGCGCCAAATTGGAACCAGTGGCAATGATCGTCTTTCTCCCGACGGCGTGGCCACGGATGCGTATGGCAATGCCATTCTGATGGGAAATACGGATGGAAGTTTCTATCGATCTCGGCAGTTCGATCAAGAATCAGAAAAGTCAGACGATGTGTTCATCATGAGTGTGATGCGAGGTACTGGAGATTACAAGGAGCCACAAGTGCCTGACGCGTCGGAATCAGCACCATCGACAGCCACCTCTACCACAACCACAGAGCAACCCAGTGGAGAGACAACGCCAAGTGAGCAGGAGCCAGCCGATGATGCGGCAAGTACTGTGGAGCAAGGACTTTCTGACGCCGAGACGGCTACAAATGAACAGGCACCGGAGCCCCAGCAGCCGCAAGAAGAAGAGCACGAGAAAGAGACCCCCTCCGAAGATCCAATGGACCAGCTTCCAGCCCCTGCTGGTGGCTCCCTGTCGGATGCTTTTGGTGACAAACCGATGATCTATACGAATATTGGGTCTGTTGAGCACCCTCATGAAGAAGAAGAAGGCTCACCAAAAAGCCGACAACGCTATGGATTGGTAATGTTTTTCATCCTTATTGCCATTGTTGGTCTCATCACGGGGCTTCTCGCGTACCGACAAATGACCACGGGAGATACCCCCACGGACCGAGATGCTGTGCTGGGTTACCTGAGCGAATTTGACGTGGACGATATTGATTTGAAGCAGAGTGCAACTGGCGGGTACCATTGCAGTTACACCAACGATCTTGCCCATGGTATCAATGCCCGTGCCGTCTCTCGGGAAGGTTTGTTTGGTCCGATGGGATTTAGCCCCAAATCTGGAACTACCAACGACCCGCTGTTGCAGATCCATGGCCAGAATTCACATGCCGAAGGTGAGATCCATTTCAGCGACGAACCCGAGCTAGATGATCTCAGTAGCATCGGTAGTGGAATAGGTACACCAGGAAGACATTCCACAGATGCAGCACTGATTGATGACTATGATGGAATCAACCGGCCATCTTCTGTGGTGGTTCTGTAGACGCTGTTCCAAATGTTTCTTTTGGGAAGCGGACTGGATGCCATCCTGGGGATCATGGCGCAACATCAAATTATATACTCGTAGCACGCCATCGTTGGGTGCCGAAACTGTTATCCACTAGCATAAATAATAATATTTGTAAGCAAAAAAGGACTCGAGGGTTGTTTGAGCACTGCTTCTTTGCCATCACAGCTCTGGATGACACCATGGGATGTGAACCCTACTAGCTTTTAAAATATTAGCTGCTATCAGCACTTCCATATTGAGATCGATCATAGCTGAGACCGTAGTCGATAAAGAACTCTTCTCCAGCAAATACGTCTCGCTCTAAAGAAAAGACAACTTGTCTCAATTCTCTGTCTTCGTCTGTTACCACATTGACATCTCTCCCCAAAGGGGGTTCGTTGATTCGACACAAGGTCGTTGGGGATTGCAGATTGAGTATCTGGTGCCAAGGCACTGATAGTGGCATGCTCGGATTGCCTCCAATGCACATGTCGTCCAAAATCCCGTCGCTATTGGTTGGATCAATGACCATTTTATTGTCCGAAAAGCGCCAGATGTAACCTTCACATTGAGGATGTTGCTGGAGTTTGGCTAGATTTTGTTGCAATGGCAGCACGACGCCAGGGTAGGTACCCAGCACTGTTTTCTTGGGCAAGGAGACCTTGGCAAAGAGCCCCAGACCGGCACCTTCGACGGCGGATGGCTTGACTTCCAAGTAATCATGGGCATTCTCAATCAGTGTTCCGCGCGGTCGATCGAGGTACCCCACCAAGCCCAAGTAAGATGAGACAGCCGATGTGGCTCGAATAGCCCAGAGAAACCCTTGATCGTCAAAAGCAAAGGCACAGCCATGACGAGCATGCCTCGGCAGGAATGATGGATTGTCGCGTCGTGGCGCTCCAGCAGCGCTCTCCCTAAGGTTGGTTATCAATAATATCAGGCATACCCAGAATCCTATCCTCGTCTTTCGTGTTGCGCTGCCCACCAAAGCCATAGTCTTGTGTTGCGGATAATACTTCTGGAGGGTGGTGCTTTCGCAAGGAAACACACCAAAAAGTAAGTTTGATGGGTGTTGTGTTGCGATGATGCGATGATGCGATGCCTTGGATGAAGGTATCGAATACCGAAGGTAGTCTAGCTGACGTGTTGGCAGCAGAAAACGTTACAGTACTAGTTACCGAGCCCGTGTGCGCTCGACCTTACATCGAAAAAGCAACCTGCTCAAGAGGATCTTCGCACCATGCTTCCGAGCAGCAAAGAGACTCCTCTATCACCTTTGTTGTTGTCTGTGTTGGTTGGATCTGTTCATTGCGTGAGTGGACGTGTACCTTCCTCTCACATTAGAAGCTTCCCAAATAAATTGCCAAAAGTTTTCAAGATCCATCATCATGTCGTTGACAGGAACGCTTCTCTTTGCAACCGGTTTGATACACAATGTCTTGGGAATCATAAGCCCGAGGTTACGGGAGCCCTTACTGAGACTCATGGCGGATGGCGGTACTCTTGTGGTTCCCGATGTCAACGAGCGCCATGCCAGAGAGAACACCTTTTGGTTCCAATTTGCTGGGATTGCCTTGATGATTCATGGCTGTCATGCTCGTAGTTTGGCTCTGCAGCTAAAGAAACAAGGAATGGAGGACGAAGCAGCTTCATCATGGCTTGGATGGGTTGTCCTAGCAACTGGAGCAGTTGGAGCTTACATCAAGCCCGTGAGTGGATTTCATCTTGTTTATTTGCAGGGGATACGCCTCCTGTGGATCCAGCACACCCGAAATGGGTTGGAACAGGGCAAGAATGATTAACGATCAGACATGGTGCTATTAGTACCGGTATTGATTGAATGATTGGCCGAAGAGCAAACCTTATTCGCGGTACCCTCTTGCTTTTCTAGCTAGACTAGACTCGACTCTACCGTAGCTAGAACTCGTGACACGAGACAGCAATTCAGTATATTTTAAAAGATCTGCAACAACCAAAGGAACCTTGTTCCGTTTCAGAGGACAGAAGAAATATCTATGCATAGTTTCTGAGCAAATGTGGTGCGACGGAGAGGATGCGATTGAATCATTCGATTCTAACTCTTCGTGCAATGCCTGAGCTCTCCTTCTAGATGCATCCCGAATATCCAACTTCAGGAGCCACCAAGAGCTGGAGACCGCTGGTTCCTACTTTGCGCAAAAGTCATCAGGATAGCGGTATGATTCTTAGATGGCTACCGCCAGAGCTGAGTACGGCAAACTGCCTCAGTTCAGGTGCAGTTCAGATCTGATCGACGACTAGCTAACTTGCGACAATACGCTACAACAGTTCCTGAATGCGCACATTATACTTTTCCAATTTCAAAACAACGATCCCCATGTCGTGGTACAAGTTTTTGGCCACCCTTTCTAGTAGTAGAAGAGCCATCTCGAACGTTCCGCTGCGGAACTTGCTACTCACGGTGCTCAACCCCACAGAACAGAAAAAGATAGATCACGGAGTCAATCAGACGCTGTGCTTGCTTCTGTTGCAGAGTCTTGGGCTCCAAGATCGTTCAGCATTTGCTGAGCTTTGCTGACGCAACCTTGATGCAAATGCATGTGAGGACAGTGGCCAGCTGCTTTCTTGAGCCAGTGGATTGCCTCTGCTTTATCAACATGCATACCAAATTGGCCGTAAGCCAACGCGCGGCCCAAGTGATACGACGCAAAGTTTGATCCTTGGCCAGCTCCAATGGACATGTACATCATGCCCACCTTCCAGTTCTGCTCTATTCCAATACCAACCAAATATGCAACACCCACTGAGCCTGTACCGCGGACATTACCAGCCTCGTGAGCTTTCTTGTACCACTGAAACGAAAACTCCTGGTTCTCTGTGAAGAGTGCGGTGATTTTTGTGGGTTGTGGGTTGTGGGTTCGTGAAATATCTTAACACCAAGTCTTATAAATGTAGACCTTATTATTAAGAATCCAACCAGCTACATTTGGATACGAGTACTAATAGTACCTCTGGAAGCTAGACCAAGCTAGTCTAGCTAGTCCATTCAGAGCAATTTGCAGCCACAATTAATACATAGCTACTAGAGAGCTAGCCTGCTGCTAGCTAGCTTCTAGCTTGCTAGGCTACCAAGCAACCTCCTTTCTAAACTGCACTACGCTAAAAGCTAGTGTAAAGATCTTTCGAGTGTTTTGAGTTTGAGAGAATGAAAGTTATGAGAGAGATTAGAAAGCTACGAAAACTAATCCATGAGAGAGATCATTGTGAAGCTCATTGAAGTTGGTCTCCCGCGGGAGGCCTTGAAGTGTGATATCGTAGATTATGATAATAACTCTACGTACTCCACGGTCCATTTCTGGAACACGTGGAAACTTCAGCTAGTAGCTGTCTAGTAGCGTGGAAGCTTTCCACGCTGGCGAAAATATCTAGAGCGATGTTTCATCGACAACCTAGTATGACTAGCAGTCATGAGAACCCTGTCTCAATGACTATTCGCGTAGGACTACGTCATGAGTCGAACTCAAACCCTATCTAGGATCGAGTCGCGAATAAGGCTAAGAGCCGTGTATTGCATTCGCCCCCTGACAAGGGTCACAGAAGGCACGACATCAGTCGGACAAGGAGAACATATGAATTAAAGTGCGGGGCACTCTCCGGAGATTGGATATAGACATGTGCGTCGCACGATGGCAATCCTACAAGGGGATCAGGCCTTGTATGGGTGTAAATATCTTATGTTCCAAGTCTGGTAGACTGTGCCGCTATTGGCGGTAGCATGTCGGAGCCGTACAGTGCCATTGTTATTGACTCAGTCTATATTGTAAGGACCTTGTACTTGGGCTGACCGTACTTGCGGTGCTGATACTGTTGAAACCTCACAGTATCATTGACATTGTATTGATGAGGGACACGCGTCGCGTTTTCCTTATCATTGTTTTTCTAGATGAGTCGTTGGCGACGCTTTTTGATGTGTTTCCAGTTTACTTCGAAACGGACGTTGTGAACACGTGTGGTAATGAACTTGCGACGAAGTCCATATTCATTCCGGAGAGTCTTCTCGACTTCTGCGCGGAACTCACGTTCTCTATCCATATAACCTCAGAAGCCATGGATACGGGTAGCCACGTCTGTTCTAGAGACGATGGCTATTTCGTCTGCTGCTTGGAGCAGATCTCGAATCTGAACATCCGGTTACGGATCATCATTGTCAAGCAATGAAATGGACAGGGATTCCTTTTCTTGGGATCCCCGAGTTGTATGTACATGTGATCTTCTGATCCATATGTCTGATAGTAGTTCATAGTCAATGAATCTACCAAGTTTCTTCCTGTTCGTAGGAGGAGCAGATTTCTGGATCGCGTCTATTTCTTGGTTACGGGTTGGATTCCTTCTCAAGTAATCCAGTAGCCTAGATACTCAAGTTCTCTTCTTTCGAAGAAGGACTTGGAGCATTGATCTTAAGTCCGGCTTCTCGAAGCCTTTAGAGAACTTCATCTAACTATTCAACGTGATCCACTAGATCGCCGTTAGTTAGGATGAGTTGATCATCAACGTATGCACGGACATTTTCAAGTCGTGCATGAGTGTTCCCATCTCCTTTGGAAGATGTCGGGACTATTGCATAGGCCATTGGTACTCGCTGGTACTCGTTTTTCCTGAATCTGTCTAGATTCAGTAGCATGTCTTGTATCCTTGGGATCGGACGAGGTTTTTGCTCAATCCTTTTGTTCAGTTCCCGACGTCAGAGATGAACCGTATAGATCCATTTTTTTGGGAATGATAAAATTGGTGCCGCCCACTCGGAACGGTTTACTTCTTAAGTGCTCCTGCGTCGCAGAGACGTTCGACCTCTTTAAGAGTGTGGTATGGACACGTGGAGTAGGAAGTCCTAGTGTGATAGGTTTTAGCGTCAGGACGAAGTTCTACTTCGTAGTCGTCCATTTGTGCTTTCCTAAAGTACCTTCGATTTGGTCGGAGCACTTGGTCAATAAGGCATGAAGCGGTTCCTGCTCTTCCTTAGGATGCTATCTTTCATAGGAAAGATGTGCTATTCCACTTCGCTGACGGGGTAGTGAAATCGAACTTGATTCTTAGATCGAGAGAAGGTCTCGACCTATATCATGTTATACGCCCCCAAGTTCTTGGTGGCGTGCAAGTTCCATTCGATAATTCCATCGTGGTGGAACTCAGGAGTCATAAGTGCACCCTTACACTTCGTGCTGGGGTTAATTCCTTTACAGGGGTAGTCCTAGTGTTTGGACGCCCCATGATCCTTCATGCTTAATCTCTTACATGAATTTGGTAATCACGGTTCCGGAGCTCCTGTATCCAAAGCAACGGAGTGTAACGGGTTTTGTTTCCCTTTTTCTCGTCTGTTAAATCTAACATAGACGATAGTTTGAGGTTCTTGTCTTGCGACGTTACGAGGTGGTTGGCCACGAACGAGGTTAACAATGCTGGATAGATCGTCAGAATCTAGTTGAGAGCTTCTAGGCAATATCTAATTTGCCGTAGACTTCATCATTGCAAACAATTCTTGTTTACTAGTTAGTGAGATATCTTTCATCACTTAGGTATGAGAAATCGGAACATGGTTCCGTTGAATCATCATCCTGGCCTAATCCTCAGACGGAGATCTCTCCATCTGAATGATTGAAGTCGAAGTCGGCAAGACCTTGTCGACTGCAGCATTTTCTTGTCCATCATGTTGAGGACCCGACAGAGGAGTCATCCTCGTTGTCAGAGTCGCGACTTGCGTTGGCAACATGGTTGCATTCGCTTCTTCTTGCGTTCCGCTTGACCGCAGCGTTGGAGACTTTCTTCATAAGGACCGAAGTTCCTTTTTGGTGTAGGACTTGGCGTCGTCAGACTTGCGTTCCAAGTCTTGTTCTTGTTGTACGCGGCTTGCTATCATGTCAGACGAGGACTTGGTTTGAGTTTCTTCAGAGTCATCAATCAGCAGTATTGTGAGTGCTGGATCGTGGTAATCACACCACTTTTCTTCGCTCTGGAAGAATGGTCGTTGTTGCGAGTAGACTTGTACTTCTTGCTGTTGTTCTCCTTCGAAGGAACTTGTTGGATCACTGCCTTTGTCAAAGTCTTCGGCGGATTCCATGGCTCACAGAATCCAATGACGCTGCCATCTCGGCAGTGAAAGGATCGAAGTCTGTTCTCCATCTTGCGCATCCAGGAACGAGGAATGCCATGACAGATGATGTCGATGAATTCGTCCTGTTCAACTGTTGATTGACACCGAAAGGTGGCAAACGTGGAAGCTCATCGGTATTCATCCGAGTGAGGTTGTTGATGTAGCGCGAGTTGTCATCTCGCTAGGCTTACGCATCTTGCGACGCATGAAGCATTTCTGTTTTTCGAGAGCCTTGTAAGGACAGGCTCTTCGATAACCGCGTTGATTCCAACGATGATGTCTCATCGCTTAGAGCGGGTTCCGCTGCCCGTCCCATGCGGCTTGACACGAGCTTGGAATTGGACTTCGGTTTCTCCAGAACCCACGTCGCGTGGAGCAACTGCGTTTACAGCAATTTGTTGTAGGGTGTGGTGACGCACGGCACGATGGCCTGCACACCCAGCTTCGTAGGCACTCTTCGCAGAGCTGGAAGTCATCTCCTTGAGAAGGCGATGTTTGTCGTCGGCATTGGCAAGGTTGAGTCCAACGAAGACCTTCTCCATATTCGTAGCCCACTTGATGGTCTGACGCGGAGTGTTGGAACCATTGATAATGGCTACCTTGAAGGTATATTTGGCACTGTTTGCATCTGCAGGAACGGTGCGAAGTTTGTAGGTGGTTGCACGAGAATCGTCGATCTCGGCGTCTTCGTCATTGTCCACGAGAGAAGAATGGGTTGTCACGCAACTGTTTCTCGAAGTTGGTGAACGCATGCTTTGAGCAATCTTCATGGTGAAGAAATAGGTTGAGGGTAGCTGAAAGCTATTGTGTTTGTTAACAAAATGCACTACGCTAAAAGCTAGTGTAAAGATCTTTCGAGTGTTTTGAGTTTGAGAGAATGAAAGTTATGAGAGAGATTAGAAAGCTACGAAAACTAATCCATGAGAGAGATCGTTGTGAACTCATTGAAGTTGGTCTCCCGCGGGAGGCCTCGAAGTGTGTATCGTAGATTATGATAATAATCTACGTACTCCACGGTCCATTTCCGGAACACGTGGAAACTTCAGCTAGTAGCTGTCTAGTAGCGTGGAAGCTTTCCACGCTGGCTAAATATCTAGAGCGATGTTTCATCGACAACCTAGTATGACTAGCAGTCATGAGACCTGTCTCAAATGACTATTCGCTTCGCGAAGGACTACGTCATGAGTCGAACTCAAACCCTATCTAGGATCGAGTCGCGAATAAGGCTAAGAGCCGTGTATTGCAAAACTAAAGAGCTAGCTGGCTAACAGACCTTCTATACACTGAGTCTTAGCTCGTGAAAATATAACATGCATTGTCAATTTCTCCATCAACCATAAAGGTTTCTTCCAAGGGATGGACATTCCTTTAGTACTGTAGCTCCTTTAGTCTGGCCTTGTCTTGGACCTCATTGCAAACCTAGAAAATCTTGTAGAAATTGACAACGTCCTCTAAATAAATCAGACAACATCCTTTAAATACTGTGTTATTATAGATCAGTTGAACCCACGTTTACACCTATGGGCCCCGAGTTGAACCCACGTTTACACCCAAGGGATTGTAGTTGAACCCACATTTACACCTATGGGATAGGTGTTGAACCCACAAAAACAACCCTTTTCACTAAATCCCTTAATAATTAATTTTGTGGTTTGAGCAACCCACAACCCACAAAAGTGAACCCACAAAATTCTACCACCCCCTCTGTGAAACCGTATGAGCCTTTCGCGTAGTAGAATCCAACTCTATACATTGCATCTGCATCACCTGCTTCTGCCTTCTCCAGCAATTCCTCCATTTTCTTCTCCTGCTCCACATTTTCGTTCCAATTGGCGGCCAAATCTCCACCAGTAACACCAGACTCCACTAATGTCTCGATGGTGTTTCGGTGCTGGATGGCTGGAACCTGCTTCTTGCCCATTTTTTGGTTGGTGACTGGAGACTTGAGGTCCCAAGGATGGTTCTGGATGTGTTCCTCAATCCATGTGAGCTCATAGACACGGCCGTCCTCGGCAAAGACAGGGTCAAAGGGCAATTCCAAACTGATTGGGCAAATCAAATCGTCCGCCGGCGATTTCTTGTGGCGCTTTGCAGGTTGGTGAGCTGTCTCTTCGGCATCCATAGAGTCTCGGAGTCGCTTTCGAAGGACTTCTGCCGTGCCAGAGGATGGTAGCTTGGCAGTTCGACACGCCTGCTGGAGCTCGCGGTAGGACTTGGTGTCCAAATCATTGTTTGCCGCGGCATTGGACATCGTGCCTGCTGTTGTGGAGAAGTTGCTCCTTTCTCTCTCTGAATCAAACTGCTACTCCTGCTGTCCTTGTGCAAAGCGTCGATTTTTGTGGTGAGGAACCGATATGCTCTTGTCAAATGTAGAAGCTGGATGGTGAGGACTGCCGCTTTGGAGTCCAATGCTGCTGAACCAAGTGATGGTTGCTTCGTTATTCGAAATTCGAAAGTTGCCAACTTTTACCCCCAACCCCCCAAACCCCAAACCCCAGCTCCCCCAAACCCCCAGCTCTTGCCCATCCGCAGCTTGTTTGAACTTATTAGTACTATTGATGTTATTGCCATGCATGTCACCGCTTTGGACTGTGCCTCCTACGCACTGGAACAAAGATAAAATCAAAGTTTATCCAAACAAGAACGCTAGAAAATTTCCAAGTAGAAAGCCCTGTGCGAATCCATCGCACCTCTCCCACCCCTTCATTGTTTTTGTGGATGGTATGCCTGCTCCCCAAGCCAAGCTTCTATTCCAACACCTTGCTTCTGTGGCTGCCAGCAAAACTCAGTTTTCATACTCTCAAATGAGGTTCTTCATGCAGACCGGCATCTCTATTGCCCTTGTGAAAGCTACCCATTTATGTCTCTGTGGATCCAGCACAGCCATGCCCTTTGGCCCCTGTACTGCTCCTCAATTTTGTTGCCCCTGATCCTACCTACGGAACCTAGCTAGAGCCCTGAATTTCGACTCTTCTTTGCTTTTAAGCCTGGCTCAGCTGGCTTCCATAGATAATCTACCTACCGGTACAAAAAACCACCCCCCTAATATATATATATCCAGTCCCCAACTTCGTGACTGAATCGAATCGAATTACGTCTCCATTTGAGACAACGCTCCTTTTGGTTACCCCCTCAGTTGCACTCGGAAATCGATTCGCCCGCGTTTACTGTGGAAAAAAGAGTAGCCGCACTTCAGTTGCAGAATCAACGGTCATGTGTATCCATAAGTAACAGGTTCTCGTTCGATAAAAATAGATCGATTCGTGGATAAAGGAACCGTTGAAGTTACTAAGGTTAAGGATTATGTGTGCATACGACCATACGAGGATAAACCGGTCGGAGCGAAAGTCCATTATTGAAGGCGCAGCACTGACTTCTCTCCCTCATTGAATTCGTATGGTAAACAGGAGGTAAATCCAAGCTTGGCCGACAACAATGGTGAGAGCGCTTTATCCAATCGGCCTCAGTTGAACCGATCGAACGATTCGATTCGAGGTAAGTCTATTATCAAGAGTGTTATTGAAGGTACAGCGCTGCAAAACACTCGAAAGATCTTTACACTAGCTTTTAGCGTAGTGCAGATCCTTCGCACCTCTGCTATCCAAGCCTCACTCAAGCCGACCGTCTCCGGTGCAAAATGGAAAGCCATCCCTCATTGAATTCTACAGACCATGGGATGGCAGTCAGTTCTCGGCCCATGACAGCCAAGTTGGTGCAATTTGAATAACAATGGTAAGTCGCCGGTTTTCTTCAGTTGAGCACAGAAGACAAAACTCATATCTATTTGTTGTTTTCTCTGCTGTACTGCTGACGGCCGACGAACTACCATTGTCGAGGACGAACGAACGAACGGTCACTCCGGAATTCAGGAAGAGGAGAGGCTACCGCTACGGAGGAGGCTCTGTTAACTCAAGCCCTATCACCAGCCTGAACGGAGGAGGCTACCGGTATCGTCGAGTCATTGAATGGCGACAAGAGGAGGCTACACGACAACACACAAGAGAATGGATCCTACTACCGGATTCACCCCTCCAGGGATATTTCCTAGTGTTTGGTTGGTGATTCCTGTGTCGGTACCCATTTTCCTGTATGCACAAATCCTCCAACGATTGATCGATCGCTCTGGGTAACAGCAAGAGGAGAGGCTACCGCTACGGAGGAGGAGGCTCTGTTAACTCCAGCCCTATCGGCAGCCTGAACAAATCATCGTCGAGTCATTGAATGGCAACAGCCGTCAACCGAAGGAGGCTACACCACAACACACAAGCACAGAGGAGAGTGGATCCTCTGACCGGATTCATCCCTCCTTGTTATTTCCTAGTGGTTTGGTGGTGATTTCTGTGTTGATATCCATTTTCCTGCAGGAACAGTGCTCAGGGCGCCTGGATTGATACTATTCCTGTACTCATTGTAATGGTGAGGTAATGGAGCGTAGCGAGCAAAGCCGAAGCTGAGTGTGTTCGTTACTGTTGCCGATGTAACTATACGGTAGCTAGCTACAATGGCTGGATTGACAATATTCGGTTGTACATGTATTCGTCATAAGGATCCAATGCGAGGTACCAGTAACGGAGCGTAGCGAGCAAGGCCGAAGCTGAGTGTGTTCGGTACTGTTGCCACTGTCGCCGATGAAACTATAGGTAGCTGGCTATAATGGCTGGATTGACAATATTCGGTTGTAACTGTTGGTTGAGGCAAAGGGTACAGGAGACGAGCGCTGAAAAAAACCGAATTTCCTATATCCTATATCCTATTTCCTATTTCCTGTTCCGGTGAAGCCAAAATATAGGGATAGAGATAGGCGCAAGCCAACAAAACTGGAAATTGAAGGGTCTACAAATTTTGGGTAGGGATAAATCATGATTGTTCAAGGTTAGTGCACTCATCACAATAAGCCAGCAGAAGCTACAAAGGTTACAGTTACATAAGTGAATGACAGCTGTAAAATTATGGTTATCGGGCGGCAACACAGGACGAAGTGTCGGTGTTGTCGCCAGGGCTAGCTTGAAAGAAGAGTGCAATCTCAAACATGTCATCCTTCTTCTACTTGTCTTTCTGCCGAGGTATCGCAGCTCCCGCTGACTTATTGGTATTTCCTGTTTCCTGTTTCCTGTTTCCTGTTCCGGTGAAGCCAAAATATAGGGATAGAGATAGGCAGAAGTCAACTCTACAAATTTAGGGGTAGGAATAAATCATGGTTATTCAAAGTTACATGTAGTGCACTCAACACAATAAGCCAGCAGAAGCTACAAAAGTTACTGTTACATAAGGGAATGACAGCTTTAAAATTATGGTTAGCGGGCGGCAACACACGACGAAGTCGGTTGTTGTTGCCAGGGCTAGCCTAAATAAAAAAGAAGGTTATAATGAGGGAAGGATACCGGGCGGCAACACACGACGAAGTCAGGTGTTGTCGCCAGGGGTATCTTGAAGGGTGTAATCTCAAACATGTCATCCTCCTTCTATATGTCATCCTTCTTCTATCTGCTTTGGATAGTGTGCGGGACTGTGGGTTCGCGGGAAGGGACACAGATTCCCCTCCAACAAGGACCTCGACTCTGTCGCTTTTGCTTGATTTCAGTTGCTTCGTTCCTGTCAAATTGACTCCAGGCAGCGGGGTGCAGGACTGTGGGTTCGCGGGAAGGGACATAGATTCCCCTCCAACAAGGACCTCGTGCAATACACGGCTCTTAGCCTTATTCGTGACTCGATCCTAGATAGGGTTTGAGTTCGACTCATGACTGAGTCTCTCGTGAATAGTCATTGAGACAGGGTTCTCAATGACCGCTCTAGTCATACTAGGTTGATGATGAAACATCGCTCTAGATATTTAGCCAGCGTGGAGTACTTCTACGCTACTAGATAAATCCTAGACGAATCTTCCACGCGTTCCGTTTTTGGATCGTGGAGTGAGTAGGATTGCTATCGCAACCTACTCTATCACACTCTACAGTCTCCCGCGGGAGTTCAGATCTACGATCCTTTGTGGATCTCATCTCGTTGAATTAGTTTTTCATAGCTTTCTAATCCCTCATAACTTTCATTCTCTCAAACTCAAAACACATCGAAGATTTTACACTAGCTTTTAGCGTAGTGCACTTTTGTTAACAAACACAAAAGCTTTCAGCTACCCTACACCTATATTCCTTCACCATGAAGATTTGCCAAAGACGCTTACACCAGCTTCGAGTCAAGCTCCGTTACAAACCAATCCTTCCTCTCATCGACCTCGAGGATGAAGCGAAATCGACGATTCTCGCTCTACACCTACAAACTTCGACACTGTTTCCAGCAGATGCTAACACAGCCAAGTACACCTTTTCAAGGTCCAATCATGCAAGTGGATCTGAGACTAACCAACGTCAGTACCATCAAGTGGGCTTGGACGCCAAGGAGAAGGTCTTCGATTTGGGCTCCGCCATTGCTAACGCCATACCAGATAACATACCTCCTCAAGGAGATGACTTCTAGCTCTGCCAAAGCAGTTACGAATCTAGCTGTGCGAGCCAACTAGCACGTGAAATACGTTGAACTGGCGTTGCAAGCCAGCATTGCAGTCACGTGCAATTACCTCCACGCGACCATATTGGAGCTTGGTTGGTAACCGAAGACGAAAGCCACTTTCCCAAAGCTCAAGAGCCTCTACGTTTCCCAGAATTCGCCTAGGGATGGAGGAGCTCAGACTGCTTATTGGACGACTCTGACTTATCGTTTTGGCATAAGTGCCTGTGTCGAAGGCGGTCGAAAGCCTGCTGATATGTCCTATCGGGCTTATTGTCAACAACCTCAGTCGGACGTAAACACCGATGAACTTCCCAGCTACCCTAACACACCCTTTGGACCCACCAAACGTCTGAAGATCATATGAAGAGGATCCCGAAGTAACAGAGGTCAATCTGACGATTGCATTTTGGTTCCCATGAACCCCGGATTCCCAACGCCCTCTATCTTTTAGAGGTATACGTGATGAAAGGAGATGGACAGATCATCGCGAATAAGAAGGCACAAGAGGCCTGTTACTTGACTTCCGCCCCCCCGATGACTTCCGACTCTTTCTTCCGTGTCTCTCAGCTTCACTTATC